TTGATGGAAAGAAAACAACAGTTGAGGGGGGAAAAAACAAAACAGGCCGCCAATGTCGGGAACAGTGCCAGGTCACCTCAGCAGCTGACGATGTAAACATTGGCACCGAGCCAGTCGGCTCTCTGCCTACGGACTACGAACACGCACGCACAGTCACACACACGCACACACACACACACAAGGCGCGAGAGCAAGGTAACCACTGGCGATCACGAGGGATGAGGGTGATTGACCGTATGCTGGGTCATTTTCTAACATCGGGGCGGAAAAGAGAGAGGAGAGGGGGGGGGGGGGAGACGGAACGAGGTGCACCAAGTGATCGTAGTCGAATATAACATTTTTTTCTACAAGATCATTTAGATATATTCCAACAAAGATAATAACCAGTGAGAACGGGACAAATGCAAAGGTCCATGAAAACACGGAGGTACATCAATCTAGATTAGAATCTCAACCAGTTTTGCTCAAAATATGTTGTGACTGGCTGGCTGGAATGTCGAGTGGGGGTGGTACTAGGGACGTGTGCTAGCGGGGGGGGGGTGTCTAGTTATTATCGCTGACATTTTATGGAGCTAAACCTAGACGAATTGCCCGTGGAACCATTCATGTTTTAGCAGCAGTATTTCCTTTTTTTCCCCTTCGTTTTTTTACAAGCATTGTAGCAATAAAGGTTCAAATTATTTTGTCAATGTTGTGCTTTGGCCTGGTTTTGTAACACGAACAACATGTTTTCCTTAAACTGTTGTTTACTACAAGAGTTGACCTCATAGTGACACACTTGGTCTTCAAACTGTGCTGTTTATCTTTTTGTAAACCGAGATAACGAGTTAGCGTGTTCATGTGTGCCAATCCTTTTTCCTCAGCACCTCTATCTCGCGCAACGGGACTGACAGTGGGTGGGATTCACAGCCAAGCCGTCTGACTTTACGTTTGTGGGTCGAGTTAGACTGGAGTTCACGCTGCAGACAAGCTTGGCACAGATTCTAACCAATCAGAAAGGAGGGTTGGCTGGGAATTCCCCTAAGTTCCCCCACACTCTACACAAACAAGCATGGCTTATTGAAGTCATTTGGTTTATGTCCTGGTTCACGCATGCATACTTCACGTCCCCTGAAAGGCAGTCGAAACCTTTAGGTTCTCGTATAACGGTACATGTATCCCCGATGTAGAAAAGAAGCTTATGCTTCGACCAGGAACAAGCTCTATTTATACAACCCCCCGCCCTTTCCAAAAAAAGTGTTATGTCTGTTTTTAATACCGCGAAATTATTAATACGAAAATATTTGAGGGTGTTCAAAACAGAGGTGTTCATTTTTATAACAAAAAATGGGGTTAAGTCCTCCAAATTAGCTTCGTTTACAGTTTTTGTTTGACGAACATGCTTTCCAAAAGTCGATATTTAGCCTCTTCAATCGATAGTGGTGATTCCTACTCACCCGGACGCATGAGTAACGCGCACATGATTCACAGACGGAGGTGAAGGGGGCAAAGTGCAATGAGTAAGTGGAGAACCGGAGGCCCACTCAAGAAGGGAGTGCCACCTCCCATGGAGCCAGAGCCATAGCGCGTACTCAATAACCTCACCGTTCTTTAAGTCCACAAGGTTGCTTTCTCAACATCCGACGATTCCATGTTCTATTTCATTACACTGTATATTTTGTTGGTTCCTGTGCCTTCTATTGTTTAAATTAACAGGGAAGAAGGGGGTGGGGTAGTTGTAGTCATTGTGCCCTTCTTAGGATCCGATCAAATGGGGTTTGGGAACAAAACATAAAACAAAACTGGGGTGGAATGTAAATATGTCTTTTATGGGAAGTACGGTGGGAGGGGGGGGGGTCTGAATCAAAAACATAATATATATACACACACCCCGGAAGAACAGCACAAGGCAAGGACACCATGATACAAATTTTAATTTAACTGGTGGAATGTCTGTCACTTTGGATAACATAAATCATATAAAAAAACAAGACAAGAAGTAGAAGCAAGTGTGATTGAAGGATAACGTGACTCAGTAGGTAGAACTTTCCCGCAACGCCTTAAAAAAAATAACAAAGGCATATATGAT